GGAGACTGTAGCAGTTTAAATCAACAAGAGATGAGCCATATGGTTCAATTGTTAAATCATCAATAGCTTTTAAAAAGGAATTGCGACTTGCTAGAATCTAGTTGGCTGGATGCTTTTATGATTTGTAATTTATCTTGCAATTTTAAAGCAAACCACATTCAGATTGATGGCTCTCGTATTGTCCTTATAATATATTGTTCCTCATTGAACAAAGATTTCAAGCATATAAAGAAAGATGGCTTGTGTGCAACACTTTTCATCATCTTTTATGAAAGTGAGGCATGTTGATAGAGAATCCAAGATAATGTCCAAATATTTTCATTTTGTCAAACTATTGTATTTGCTGTTAATTACTACTATGGTAGCACACACACCAGCCTCCAGAAGTTTATAATCTAAGACCCTCTATTTTCCAAACCATTTGGAGGGCAAGGAGAGGATCATGCCCTTTGTTCCTACATTGCTGTAACAAACAACGGTTAAACTTGCATCCTCTGTACCCAACATCCCATTAAAGCTCTATTGCTGCATATATACCAATCAGGTAATTCATTATTCAGCAGATGCTGGTAAATTAATATTATAGATATTGAAAAAATGTTTTTTTCTGTTATTTTACCACCTGTGATGTCTGCAGCAGTATATATTTCTATAGCTAACATTTTCAAATGTTCCCTGCAGAATCTTTCTGAACTGAAAGTACTCTTCAAGTAGAACTACTGTATGTGTTTATATAGGCACCCTTTATGCATTTCTGGTATATGTTAATGTAAATTCCCAGAGAAAACTCACTTATAGTTAGCAAAATAATAAAAATAAATAATTGGACATTTAAATAAATATAAACTTACTGAAAGGTATGTTAATTCACAGTTAAACATATTCAAAATACTGTACTCTGTCCCTTTGACAATCTGAGCTCACTACCTACCCTCCTTTTTATAGCCACTTTGTAAGATCTGTTGTTGGATCAGATCCAATACCTATAGCTATAGATTAGCTCTCTGCCAGTGGAAAGAACTGCTCTGTCAGTCTATTGGCACCTGTTCGTTTCAGGATGCAGTTTAAAATTTCCTTCCGTGTACTTTAAAACTTCTGTGGAGCTCATTCAGCCCCTTTATAGACCATTTTCCTTTTGATTCTCTCTGATATTCTCCTCCTTTCAATCTTCTACTTGACCTCGTCTCTGTTTCTTCATGCAGTCTGACACTGTGGGTGTGAGAGCCTTCCTGCCATATGAAAAAATCTTTATGCTTATCACTAATCTCTCTGTTTGAAAAGCTTTTCCAAATGCTCATATCACTTCTTTTTCCTAAACCTCTTACTTTCTGTCACTCACTGCTCTCATTTATTATTTTTCATATTACATAGTCTTATTTAAATTATAAAGCATCTGGCAATATATTTTGTATGAAATGCTCTCTAAAAATAGAGTTGGATTGTATGTTTCATTTATTCATTCTTAAACTGTATAACCTCTTTAGTTCTCACCTAATTAATCTTCTTGTGTTTGTTTGTGATCCTTCCACATGATTATCAGTCACACCAGATTCTTGGTTCTGCATATATCCTGTGTTTGCTTTCAATCATTTGCACCTTCACTTTATAATTCATGGTTGAAAGAACAGATTTACTAAATACTTTCCTTTACAAGACTACTAAATGTCCTTGGCTTCAGGTTCTTCAGTGTAACTAGTTAGGGCCCTACTGGAGTTGAGGAAATCAGACAAAATAGATTTTTGTGGGTGTGTCTACATGCGCATTTGCTATGGGATGGGTTTACCCTAGAGTTATTAAATCTAGAGTAAACCCACCTCGAGCAGGCATCTACATGTACAGGGGCACAGGAGCAGATTTGCTGCTCATGGCAGCAGTCTGCTCCCATGCCCCAGGGCCCTGCACTAGCCCCCTGCTGCCACCAGGAAGAGCTAGGGGCTCCAGCTGCCACCTTTAAAAGGCAGCCCCATATGCTGCTCCCAGGCCACCTGATTTCCTGGCCCACAGCAGCATGCAGAGCACAGTGGCTGCATGCAGTAGTTCTGTCACCACAGCCTCTGCCCACTGCGCCATGGCTACTCCAACCCCAAGCCCTAGCAGTGACATCCACCACCTTGGGCTCCTGATGGCCACTGTGCTGGCCCTGCTGGCCTACCATGGGAACCACTGCCTGGCCCATGGCAGTCTCAGCCCTGGTGGCCCTGCTTTGTGGCATGGACACCCAGCCTGGCTCCCTGTGGCATCCCAGACCTCCTGCCACTGTGCTGCTGCCACCCGGACCTCGTGCTGCCACCTGGACCTCAGCAGGGACACCAAAAACATGTTCCTGGATGTCACTGCCAGCACGGTCCATGCTGTCCTGGGTCTTTAGCCCTGCTGCCTGTAGGCCCAGCCATCCAGCCAGGAATGGTAGCTACACGTCATCCAGACATCTTAGATCCAGACAGTTCAGGATGCTGAATCCAGAATGCTTAGATCCAGACAATTCAGGATGCTGAAGTCCGCATGGACTTGCGGGCAGCCCCTGACTGGCAGTTGTGGTCAGGGACAGTGACCCACTGTGCCCACAAGGCCTTGACCTTTATGCAACACTGGTGCACCAACGAGTCATGCCCACACGCCTGCATGAGGCCTGACAGGCCCTCGTAGATATGCACATTGGAGTGCTCGCTCCGCACAAACTGGGTGAGTACCTTGGCCTTGCCCCACAGTATGATAAGGTCCACAGTCTTCCCTTCGAACCAGGTGGAGCCCCATGAGGTGGCATGTGGTGTGTAGACACAGACACTTACTGTGCAATAATTTGCCCTCCTGCCCAGTAAAACATCTTGTGCAGATGTGCCCTATGTCTCCAAGTCCACTAGTCATATCTCAGTGCATTAGAGGTATGACCAGGTATGAAGTTATCCATGTTGGTTTGAGTTATTTGGGATCTTATGAATTTGGTTTCTGCCTTTCCTGCTAGTTTTAAAACCTCTGAGACTATCCTTCAAGTTAGTGCTCCACACAGTGGCAACCAGTTGGGTTACAGCACTCTCTCCTAGCAACTGGCAATCTTCAAACTGAAAAACAACTCTTGGTTTGCTTTTGGACATTCTGCTTGGCCACAAATATGTATGAACTACAGTACTGCTCACAACTAAAATGATTAACTTAAAAATGGAAATAATGTTTGCTGAAGCTAGTCAGAATGATGGAATAATATTATTTATGTAGATGGGTTGATTCTTGTAGATTTATATTTTGTATGGTAAATCTAAATGTTTTGCTGGACCGGTGTGCAAAAGATGAAGAATGATACTTTTTCTGATCTCTTTAAGGTATGCATATTTTATGCTTGTGAAACACCGCCTGCAGAATTTTGGATTTACTCCAAAACTCATGCTAAATTAATCTAAATTCAAACATGGGCAAGTAAATCTCTTATTAAATATTTATCATTCTGAATTTTTTTTTAGGAAGATGCCTTAGAAGTAATCCAGTTCACTTTTCCTTAAGTGCAATTTGAATACACAGTGGCCTCTATTAAAAACTCTTAGTTCCTGATCCAGCGAGTTCTAAGCACCTTCTATAAGTTACTAAGTATGCTGAACTCTTGTTGACCTCAGTGGAAATTAAAGTTGTTCGACAGCTCTCAGGAGTCACTTAGCATCTTGCAGGACAAATACTTCAATATTTTGTAGTATTACATATATTAAGTACAAGAGAGTACTGGGGACATTATAAATATTGAGATAGGGTTGTGTGAGGGCCCCTCTACACATGCAGGTAATGGCATGATGGGATCTAATGCATGATCCATGCAATCGCACCTCCTGCCATGGCACAAGTACATGGCAAGAGGCACAGTTGTGTAGATGTGCATTAGATCCCGTTGCTCTCTATTGCTAGTGCAGGAGGAGCCTGATCCTGGGCTCCCCCTGAACCAGAAGTAAGCTCCCCTGGGTGCAAGCCTGGATCAACTGACCAGGCTCTCAGCCTCAGGGGAGCCCCAGGGGTCCCTGCAACAGGAAGGCTGCAGTTGCTGTGATCTTCCAGCTGTAGAGGGAGGCTTCACGCACCCTTGCAGCTGGGAGACCACAGCAGCTGCAATCTCTGAGTCATGGGAAGGGGTGAGGAGGGAGAACTCCATTCATCCCTCAACTGGCCACATGTTCAATTAATGGCAGTGATAGGAAACAGATACAAGTTATTACACATCTTTTGTGGACTAACTTTGTAGCTTATTCCTCTTTTTATCATGGCATTAATTGAACATGTGGCTGGGTGACCACTTAAGGCATAGACAGACAAGGTTCCTTGGGTGAATTTGATATCTTTTATTAGACCAACCCAAATAGTTGGAGAATAGTTATTAAGCAAGCTTTCGAGTTCAAAATGAACTGGTTAATCATGCCTTAAGTGTAACATACATGGGGCCTAAGACAGAAGAAGAAATGTTTAAGGATGACTACTAACTTAACTTGTTTGGTTTTTTGACTCATTAAAGCTCTTCTGTTATCTGAAGTCTTCCCCTTTCACTTTCAAATGGAAATGGGAACTGCTGTATTTTCTATGAGAACTGAATGACAGTTTGCTAAGATCATTTGAGATCAAATTATTCTGCAAGCCTGGGATACTGAGTTTTAGACTCATTTCCATTAACAACAGGCAAAAACATCATCTAAGCTCCCTTTGAGCCTTTCCTCCTCTCCCCCACCTCCCTCACACAAATACACCGTCTCCCCACAAACTCATTTATAGTATCACATGCCAACAAAATCCATCCGCTGAAGGATTTGATTCTCCTGTTACAAAAATAAGTATCCACTCTACAATGTCTAAATTCACTAAGCCAAATTCTCTGCAACTCTCCCCACCAAAAACCTAAAGCTTACTTTACGGGTATTATTATAACTCTGCATTTAATAAAGGGTTTCTGTTCCTTTGTCTCTTCCTAAAATACATTAATCTGATAGCAAAATTGTTACATGTGGCACACACTAAAATGTAATTATTTGCAGGTGAAGATCTATTCTGGGTTATTCGCTATGGTTTGGTTCACAATCTAGTTATGATGTGCAGTGAACTCAGTGGGGATGTGAGCCGAGAAGGATTAAGGAATGCAATGTGGAAAGCTTTACAGAAACAAAAGAACAGTATAAAGGATGACAGAATCCTGACAGCTGTAACAGTAGCTGAGGTAAAAATTTAGTAAGCAGAATAGATTATTACTAGTGCAGACTGATTATATTATATTGTAATATAATTTGAATAATTATTTTAGAGTGAAAAATGAGGATGCTTTCAATTATAGGAATAACCTCTGCTCCATGGCTAGAAAGGACACTAGCTAGTAATGCTGGTGTTCTCTGCTTCATGTCATACCCATAAAAACATAAACATTCTATATTTAAAATAGCCTCAAAACAGTTCCCTTTTAAGTGAAAAATAACCTATTTAAAATTGTTGTGATGTGGCAAAGAATACCAACTAATATTCCAGTGTTTTTAATATACTACTATCCTATTAAAATAACACCCAGATTCTGACTTCTCCTTCTGTTGCATTGGCAAGCAGTTAACTGTTAACAGTGATTGATTTTTTGCCAACATTGATGATGGTTGGTGGACAGACAGAAGTTAAAACAAAAGAAAACAAAACAACCCAAGCTGCTATGATAACTTCTATATGACTTCTGAACTTCTATATAAAATAGAAAAAAAATATTAAATAAAACCAGGTGTTTTCTAAGGTGCTAGATACCTCACCTGGAACAGTTTTAAAGGTTCCACTGAAGTCAGTGGTACAGGATTGTTTATCCAATGTATTACAATATTGCCTAGAAGCACCAGAACTTCCTTGTGGTAGGTAATGTATAAACACAGGGTAAGGCACACCTGGTTCACAAAGCTTGCAGAAAGGAAAGACACACACACACACACACAAAAGTGTTTTACTTGCAATCCCACTGAAGATTTGTGAAATAATCTGAAATTGAACCCAGGCCCTTGAGTCCCAATCAAATACTTTAATCACAAAATAGTTCTTTCTTCTGGAGATTAGGCTGTAACTGAAGAATGAAAAGGTATGGTGAAAATAAGTATTTTTGTAATTTTGAACTTCTCAAAGAACATGGTAGAGAGACACAACAGGAAGATATCAATGTTATTTTGCAACAACTTTTGTGGTTTTAATTTTTTTGTTGTTCTTAATTGAAATTTAGACAAAACCCTCTGATGTTTTTACAAAACCTGAATTATGTCATAGGTCTGTGTGCTTATGTAGTTGGATGGATATGGTACAGCCCTAGACTATGGGGAACTCAGAGATGTTTTCATCTCAGATACTCAAAATCTGGTAAAGTGGGGACTTGATCCTGGGTATCTCACATCCCAGACTAGTGCCTGAACCACCCATGGGTAAAAAAAGAGTCTTTCTATCCTCTCCTCACTTAGTAGAGTTTAGTGGAAGCTGATATGTTTCTGCTCCAGTGAAACAACATATTTCAGCAAAATTTATGTCCCAGCAAACTCAAATTGTAAACAGTGGGGAAAAAACCCCTGATAATATATTAAAGAGAAGAGCTCAGTTGAAGATAGATAAAAAATACGGAACTGTGTCAGATGATCTGAAGAATGGTAGCATAAAATGTGATCTTCTTGTCTGTGAGAGGGTGAGCAATTTTTATTGTTCAGGTTCCTCTCTCAAATTGGTATTAAATGCAACCTACATTTCCCCCCCACAAAAAGGTGATTGCCAGCACAGCATTATCTACCTAGATGAGGCAGGACTTATTTATTTAGTTTGGTGGAACAAGAAACAGCAAAATATTTGTTTGATGCTGTAAAAGCAGTGGATCCTACTGAATTAAGTTTAACATATAACATTTTAGTTTAGATATGCATACATTACAAAGACTTGGATTCAGTAAAACTTTAAAAAGGGTTAAGATTCTAAGTTGCTTAACTCTTCTCCCTGTGTTCATCAGACACGTTCTTGTACTATATTTAACATTTAAGGGGTATCAAACAGGGATATATTATAGAATGTTATTGTTTACTCTACCCATCCTCAGGGTTACCGACCCAAGATTATTTTTTTTTACTGCAAATCTGCAAACTTTTTACTGACAACCAATCCTTTTTACTGACACATGGTTTTACTAATATCTATTTTACATAATGTAAATGCAACATTCTGCTAGGCCCTAGATGGCAGTTAGAAGGTCTGGGTTCAAATTTAGGAATTTAACACCAACACTTGGGGAAAAAAAGTTTAGTTGTCAGTAAAAGGTTTGCAGGTTCTCAGTTAAAAAAAAAAATCTTGGGCTGGCAACCCTGCTTGACTGAAGCAATGATATTACACCATGTTGCTCCTGCCTGGGGGTCCCCTGCTCACCCAACACCCTGACAACCCTGACTGGATCCCATGTCATGCTGCTCCCCCCTCCCCAGTCCACTCCCCAACCAGATTCCTGCCAGCCTTGCTCCCTCCTCCCTGGCACCTGCCCCCTCTCCCCTTCCTCCTAGCCCCACAGCTCCATCCTTCCCACAATGCCTCCCTCCTTGTCTGTGCGACCTGGAGATGCACCGCTCTGCATACCTTCAAGGTGAGCACTGAGCAGTCATTACAAGCAGCTAATATCTGGGACATGCAGTGGCAGCACTTGGCTATGGCAGGAAAGGAGAAGGAACTACAAAGCTCCAGCAGGCCAGAAAGCTCTGATAGACAGTTCACTGCAGGATGCCAAGCAGTGCTCCTGCTTAGACACCAGGTGGTGCAGCTCTGCTCTCTCTGTACACCATGCACAGTTGAATCTAGCTTCATTCCCATGATGGATTGTGAAAGTTGATCACTTTTTTAGTTTTTTACAGAATCTCACTTTTTCTTTATGGACTTCACAGACAGGCATTTTAGGCTGGGTTTTTTTTCAAAAACTATCTGTAAATTTACAGTTGGCAACCCTGCCCATTGTACTCTTTGAAAGTAGCTATCATGAGTCAACGCATGACCCTATCAAGTCCTCTAATTCCTTAGACAAGGTACAAAACTCTCCTCTGTATGTTGTCACTATTTCCATATAGTATAGAAATTAAACTAGATAAATCCTTTAATTCTGGAACTTCTTGAAGCATCAGACATATTTCACTTTATCTCAGGGCATAACATAAATAGAAAAACAATGTATGGCATTGATCTAAACAACCACATTGTCTCCAGAAGGTGATAAAATATCTGGCAATTATGTTTTGAGCAAGCTTTAAAGGGCATGAATTCTTTGAATTTAGACTCAATTCTTCAGAAAACAAAAACAGAATTTCAGAACTGGAATGACTTGCACATAAGATAGATAAAGAAGATAAATTTGCCAAAAGCAGTGCCAGCAGAAAAGTTAAATTATGTATTAAATTCTCTACCCATTCCTATTATTTTAGGAAATTAGATAGGAATGTCTGATTTATTTAACTGAGATGGAAATAGGCTTGGGAGATAAAGAATTCAGCACTTTGATAGCCTAGGAAACACAGAAGGATTTGTCTAATAGTCACTACATATTTTTAAATATTTTCCTTTGCCCAACAGAATGAAGGGCTATATTCTGCCTTGTCACATACAGGTATGAAAGGGATTATCTTCCAAGCCCTCACATCATTCTTTGTTATCTGTTTGCACATGATATGGCCTTCTTGTTACACTAGCACATAATTGTGGAGCACTTATCTCAAGTTGTTAGCATCTTAAATGGTGCTGCACTGTTTGCGGTTCATAGTCACAATCACAGGTGACAGAAACACTGTGAAAACCCAGTTCTTCATCATATTCTTTGCCTAGCCAATTAGTATGAAGTCTTTCTCTAGTCTGCAGTGCTGCATCTGCACACTTGTTGCTGAAGGTGACAATGAAAGTGGCAAAAAGCTTTGTTATAACTTCAATCACCTCATTCAACTGCTCAGGGAGAGAAATATGCAGGGGCATGTGTACACCTGCAATTCATTTGAAGCAGTAAACTCCAGTGCATATTGTGCCAGAATTTATTGCTCCTGGGCACTGCATTTACATGTGCACCTGGTACCACAACACGTTGAGCCAGGCTGGAGCAGCCTCGGCTGGCAGGAAGTTTCGGGGAACAGCCTGCCAGCTTGGGACTGCTCCAACCTGGCTCAACTTGTTGTGGAGGGGCTGGCTGGGGCACAAAGGTGCTCCAGTGCAGGGCTAGCCAGTAGGCAGGCCCCCCCTGCACTGGAGCACCCTTGTGCCCCAGCCAGCCCCATCAGCATCTACATGTATGTTGCTGTGCACTAAAAAATCTCCTCAGCAGGATAGTACTTGCATTTACAAGTACTACCCCACTGTGGAGTTTATTTGTTTACTGCACCCTAAAAAGGGCGCACATTGAGATGTTTACTGCTGAGCTAATTAGGCAGCTCCACAGTAAATATCTTGTGTAGACACACCCAGGGACACATAGGTTATTGATATTTGCAGTTTTAATGCATTTGGTGAAATAACAGTACCTAGTGTTTAGTGCAGAGTCCAGAATCCTTCCATATGAGGACTGTTCCCATTCTGCACAAGAAGGTTTGGTTTGTAGAACCTACATGCAAGTATATGGAAGATTTCCTTCCAACTGGCATTAGACAGACATATATAACTTAATCTTTGCCTGGAGATGGATAATACAATCTTTTATGGATGTAATTTCAGACACAGTGTAAAGCAGATTCATCTCCCATTGAAGTCAAGAGGGAATGTTCTTGCTTACAGTAGATTAAATATGTCCCTATGGGCAAAAGATAGTTTTTCTAGGAAAAATATTTTCTATCTGCACCAGGAATTACAATGAGATTTCTATGATGAGCTTTGAAAGGGGAAGCAATTCCCCAAACACCATACATGCAGATAAGATATAAAATGATACCTTTTCAGTGAGACAGATTTGCATGATGCTTTTTTAAAGGTTATTGCAAAATAATGAAAAAATTAAGTTGCTAAAAAAAAGCAGCTGACTGGAATCCATTACAAATGTATTTTCTTAGACTTACGACCTCCATGTCCTTAAAAAGATTACAGTAGCAGCTTTAAAGGTACTCATATTGTTTGTAAGAGGGAAAATGGAATGGCTTTTAAAAATGTGGCAGGTGCACATTTGCCATACAGTTCCAAACCATGAGAACTGCAAATTCTGCAGGCTTAGCAGGA